CATTCAGGGTCAGTAAATCCGGCTATCAAGAGGGAAAATATTTTATATATAGAACCTATTCACTCAAAGATGAATATTGGTACTATAAGTAAACGCTTTCATCTCAGAGATACTGATATATTGTTTTAACTAAAAAAATTAGTTCTAGACCAAGTACTGCATTTATTTATGCATTTCAATGTAGGTATGATATTTTAGAAAATATCTCAATATATGTATAATCAAAGTAGCTATGTATGTAAGTATTTTATGTAGGTAAATATATCTATATATTATGCAACATTTTAGTGTAAATATATTATTTAGATAAGTCACAATTGTACCTAATAAGGAGTGATTAACGAGTTTATATTTTCAGTTTCTTCCTTATATGAAACTTATCGAAGTTGGAAAAATACTCTTGATACTCTTTAAGATATGTTGTTAATGCACTTGCTTAGATTTTCAAATAGATGGAAAAAAAAGTAAAGTGAATTTGGGATAATTCATTATCAATACCACAATTATCTTATTCAATTTTTTGGTTCTAAGTTATAAATTCTATACCATGTAAGTTAAAATTATTGAGGTGAATTTCCTCATTCCAATTGAGAATATTTATTAATCAGTTCACAAAAATATGCTAGACAATGTGAGAGATATTAGGCTTAGAAAAAATGAAAGTAGTATGTGGTTTCATAGAATTCACATAAAACTCTGAGAAATATATATCACTGTAGGATAACATTGCCACAGGGAGCTTAGGTTTATAAGGTTACACCCATCACAGTGCTCCTGAGTCACTCCCATTCCTCTGTTTATCTGTAAACTCTTCTCTTGGCTTTCCTCCCCAGCCAGTTAATCACCTTTTCTCCCTAATCAAATGCTGTTAGCTTGTAAGATCAGATCCTTCTAAGGACACTGAACTTGTATTGTAAGTTATGTCCTTTGCATAGTTTACCTTAAAGAAATATCCTTTCTGTATGAACACAGGAAGACAGTTAATATTATGTTTTGTAATTTGGGAGTTGATTGACTCTGAATAATATTTACTCCTGGGCATCTGCTTTCTTGACTCAGATGCCCTTAATTCCTAGCACCCCCAAAGCAGGGTCCTAGTGAGAGACTGAATGGACCCAGGGCAAGTTGTGAGCTACCCTGGCATCGAAATGGGCCAGGCCAAAGCGCCATGATACTCAACTATAAGTTGAGGGCATGATCATGGTCAAATGCTGTCATGATCCAAAAGTAAGTAAGGATGAGACTAGGACCCTACTGGGGCTAGGAAAGACTAATCTGGCCTGAGGACTGCAGAATATATAGTGAGATGTCCTCAGGAAGAAAAAAACTAAGTTTATGTCTCTTACTGTGCTCATACAGAATGAGTTGCTAGAAATACTGGAAGTAGACTTACTACAACTATTTAAGTAGATTACTATCTGAGGAAAGAACACACCCTTGTTGGGATCTCACCCTTGAGCAGATCTCCTAGTAATCTGGAATAATGTTTTTAGATAAAATTTTATCCTTGAGTTAATCTCCTCAAGGAGTGGTCTTACCTCTCTTTGCTTGTTACTGTTCAACCCACCTTTGTGTCACCGCCCTACATGATTTCTACGATAAACTAAGACTGTAAGCTTGGACTGGGCGCGAGTTGGAGAGGAAAGCTCAGGAGAGACTGAGGCTGAGGCTTGGAGTGGGCTTGGACTTGAGAGAGCAGGGCAAAAGAAAGCTCAGGCTGAGGAAGAGGCTGAGGCTGAGGCTGAGGCTCGGGCTGGGGCTGGGGCTCAAGAGAGCAGAGACTGAGGCTCAGGCAGAGGCTCAGGCAGAGGCTCAGGCAGACGCTCAGGCTGAGGCGCAAGCTTGGGCTCTGGAGCTCGGGTTCCAGAGTGCAGAGTCAGAGGTGAGAGTGAAGACTGGAATAAACTACAATTGATACTGACCAGCCTGGCTCTCATTCATTCCTTCGCTTGCCCATGGCTATCGACCTCCCCAGGGTGGGGGAAACGGCTCGAGACTACCAAATGTGGGCAGTAGGAGAGATAGAGCACCACCAGACCCTCCGGAAACACACAAATCTCCAAGTTACAAAACTACCAAATGGCATGAATGCTAGAAAGAGATTTGAAAGTATATTATGGTTGAAAAACACATTTTAGACAACTGAAAAAGGTATATTTTGACAGGGTCTTCAGTGAAAAGCTGGTAGAAATGATTTCTAAAATGTGATTGGAAATATGAGACTGAGGAGTGAACCATGGAAAAGGAGTGCATACTTTCCAAACTTGGACCCTGCAAGGTCAAAGGTCTTACATTGCAGAGATCAAAACTTGTTTAGAAACTGGTAGATGAATGCCAGATGTTTCCTTGCAAATATTCCTAATTGGAGTTGGAGAAAAAGCGCCTTCTAAACTTAATTTATTTTATAAAAGTGGCATGTATAATATGGTCCCTTATAGGGGAGCGGGTTGAGCTTTCCTCCCCGCCCCGACCAGGACTACGGCAGCCGAAGACCTCCAGGACCAGCCACCACCATGCTGAGACCACTCTCCGCACCCATGAAGGTACTGGCAGAGGGACACAGCCACGCGGGTTCCGGGGCCGAGACCTCCACGCCTACTCGAATTGGAGTCGAGCATCTTCCACCCAGATCCTCCAAATTCCAGTAGGCGGGGGTCACACCCACCACCTGGCCCCCTGGCGCCGTGTAATCCCATCAGCGGCCAAGACTCAGAGACTATAAAATCCAGATCCCGGACGAGAGCAGTGCAGTCTCTGCCCCCGCGCCTGGGTGTTCCTTCCCGGAGTCCCTTGGAGGGGAGCGGGTTGAGCTTTCCTCCCCGCCCCGACCAGGGCTACGGCAGCCGAAGACCTCCAGGACCAGCCACCACCATGCTGAGACCACTCTCCGCACCCATGAAGGTACTGGCAGAGGGACACAGCCACGCGGGTTCCGGGGCCGAGACCTCCACGCCTACTCGAATTGGAGTCGAGCATCTTCCACCCAGATCCTCCAAATTCCAGTAGGCGGGGGTCACACCCACCACCTGGCCCCCTGGCGCCGTGTAATCCCATCAGCGGCCAAGACTCAGAGACTATAAAATCCAGATTCCGGAACCTTTTATTATCTCATTCCTACTTTGGACAAACTTACAGGCTATCGAATGTAGCCTGCCCACAGGGCAGAGTCTGGCAAACTCCCCGTGGCCTACCAAATATGCCAAATACCAGTAACAATGATGGGTCTCATTCTCCTAAAGAGCCGTGAATATAATCTCAGGGCTAGGATGAAAGAGACGTTACTGGGGCCTGCTCGAGGCAATCGACGATTAACAGGATGATGAAATGAAAAAAAATAAAATAAAATTTTACTGTAAACTGTCAAATTAGAAACAGTACAGTGGGTGTGATGCACAGCATAAAACTGATGCAATTTTGACCCTTCACCACATCTGTTATCCTGAATATGATCATAGGTGATTACTGAGCACAGAGTCAGGAGTAAGCCAGAGTACCAAAACCAATAAGAAAATTTACAGATTTGAAGCGTTGAGAATTGAATGGAAAGAGGACCCTATCTTAATTTATCAAGAAATTACAGCATAGAAACAACATGTTGGCAACTCGGAAAATTAGGGTAATTAATAAATGAATGCATGTCAGCTGAGAATGAAATCTAATGTTACATCTTATTTTAAAAACAAACAAACAAACAAACAAACAAACAAACAAACTGGCAGTGATTTTGTAAAGAGCTAAACCCAAACAGCATTACTTACAAACCCATACGTTTCTCATATAATCAAAATTGGAAATGTGATCCAAGTATATGCAAAACTCTGGAGTCTATCTCAGGTACCACACACCTACCTAGCACAATTAAACTGGTGTGACCATAATAACTCCTAAGTACTACTGTGTATGACTCTTATGGAACTGAGTGTCATGGCCCTTATCATTGCCATCCAAGCACTGTCGGGGCAGGCCCATATAGCAATTAATATGATAATATTTTAGTAGGACATATAACACATATGTAAATCAATTGTAAATCTGCACTTCAAGAAAAAATTAAGAATCAATCAATCAAAAGAACATGAAAAATTTATAAGGCATATATAGGCATTGGGTTATAATAAAAGGTCTTAATAATGAAAGCATTAGTAAAAAATCTAGAAAAGTTAATTGTCATCTCCTTTTGATCACTAGAGTAATTTTTTCTACAAAATAATTTGGAAAAATAACCATATTTTAATATTTAGCACTCATATGGATAGCTTGCCAGGCTCTTCCGTGCGGGCGGAATACTCTCGGTAGCTTGCCAGTCTTTCTGAGAGGGATAGAGGCTTTTGGGGCGACCTCTAATCACCCTTGTAGGTGTTACCATATTTGAACCCTATCAAATATGGTACGACAATTCCGGAAGATGAGTATTTAGTGTCTTATGATGTGTCGCGCGGCCGCGAAGTCCAGAAAGTGTCCTGGAGTGTGGCGACGGCTGGGTAGTGGAAGTAGTGTCGATAGTGGAAGTTTGCCAGTGGGGTATTTATCTGGGTAGGGTGGGTCTCCTGTGCGCATTTTGATCCCTGGGTGGTTGATGGAAGCAGACAGGGCAGGGTAGGGTGGGGCTCCTGATTAGAATCCCTTTGTCACCTGTGGTTGGTGGGAGCAAGCAGAGAAGCTCTATCCCTGGGTCCACCGAGCCTGGAGTCCAAGGTCTCAGAGAGTTCCGCTTATCTTGTTCTGTGGGTCTTCAGTCATGCATGGATCTCGGCCGGAGCTGCCACACGGGTCCGGAAAGTGTCCTGGAGTGTGGCGACGGCTTGGTAGTGGAAGTAGTGTCTAAGAGCCTGGCAAGCTATCCGTTGAGTATTCGATATGCCAAAACCAGTAACTACAACTGGTCTCATTCACCTGACCCTGAAGGCTTCACCGACAAGGCAGCACTGAGAAGGATGAGAAAAGAGAGGCCGACAAACTCTCGAGGCCGACCTAGGCTGCCACAACGAAGGAAGACAAAAATGATCATCTGTACTTTCAATGCACGTACACTAGCAACAGATGCATCCATCGAGGACCGGATGGTACAAGCGCGAATGATCAAGTACGACATCATTGGTCTGACCGAGACAAGAAGGCACGAATCTCACCATGCCGTTTTCGACACAGGAGAAGAATTGTTCCTCGGAACATGCAATAAAAGAGGTGTTGGAGGCGTCAGTGTCCTTGTCAACACAAACTTGGCCAAGAGCATTGATGCATTCGAATGCCTAACAAACCGAATCAGACGTTTACATTTGAATAGATGTGGCTCACTGCCTGCAGTTTCTATCTTCGTTGTCTATGCACCAACATCTCATTATGATGAAAGAGAAATCGAGAAGTTCTACATGGAGCTAGAGAAGTTCTATAAAGAAGACCACACCTTCTACAAGATCATTGTGGGTGATTTTAATGCCAAGATAGGACCGAGAAGATCAGCTGAAGAACTTCACATTGGGACCCATGGCCTAGAATGGAACGAACAGGGTGAGAGACTGTCTGAGTTCATCATGTCAACCAAGACCATTCATGGTAACTCACAGTTCCAGAAGGCAGAATCTAAACGATGGACATGGGAGTCTCCCGGTGGACGATTCCACAACGAAATAGACCACATCATATTCAATCGACGGTTTTGCCTGACTGATGTCGCTGTTATCCCAAAATTTCGAACGGGATTGGACCACCGTTTCCTTCGTGCAAAATTCTACTTCACAGAGTGGGGAGAAAGGGCTGCAAAGTTCAAAAAGAGAAATCCCAGAATGACCACCAACTGGGAACTCTTTGGTACTATTGCGGCAACATGGGAAGATGCCATTGTTGACAACATTGACAAGGAATACGATCGACTGGTTCAGCACCTCCATGAATGTGCGAGGAACGCCAAGAGAGAGATAGCCACAAAAAATCGCCTATCTTCGAAAACTCTTGAGCTAATTCACCAGCGTGGTTTGGCGCATGCCTCAGGCAACCGCAAGCTAACGTCCGAGCTCGCAAAGCAGTGCAGAGATGCGATCAAGGAAGACCTCAAAGAAAGAAGAGCAGAAGTACTGGTAGATGCAGCAGAAGCCGGGAAAAGTATTCGTAACGCCCGCCTGTCCTTCGCCAACTACAAGACCAAGATGACTGCCCTCCAATGTCCTGATGGATCCATCACATCCTCCAGAACGGCAATGGAGAAGATTATTCATGACTTCTATGCAAATCTCTTCGATAGCCATGTCCACTTGCCGACATACCAAATTCCACAGGATGGATATGTCGTTCCCAAAGTTCTCCCTTCTGAAATCCAACACGCCATTTCGTCTGCAAAGAAACAAACAGCACCCGGCCCAGACAAGGTCAGACCTGAACACCTGAAGAACCTGCCGTCAGTACTCATCAATACACTGACTCGGCTCGTCACTCGCTACCTGTCTGAATGCAAGGTTCCGTCCCAATGGAAAACCAGCAGGACCGTATTACTGTTCAAGAAGGGAGACATCCATGACATTGGCAACTATCGCCCGATCTGCCTATTGTCTGTCATCTACAAGTTGTTCACTCGAGTCATCCTAAATAGGATTAGCAGAACACTAGATGAAGGACAACCAAGGGAGCAAGCTGGGTTCCGCAAAGGATTCAGCACCATGGACCATATCCACACGATAACCAAGCTCATTGAGGTTTCTCGGGAGTTCAAGATGCCGCTCTGTTTAACGTTCATTGATTTAAAGAAGGCCTTTGATTCTGTTGAGATGGAAGCGGTCATTGAAGCCCTAGCCAATCAGGGCATTCAAGCCCAATACATCAGGATCCTCTGTGAGCTGTATTGCGGATTCACTACCAGGATCTCACCATTCTACAAAGAAGTGATCATTTATGTCAAGAGAGGGGTTCGGCAGGGTGATACCATTTCACCGAAACTCTTCAGTGCCACCCTCGAGAACATTATGTGACGACTGGAATGGGAAGGAATGGGAGTGAAGATAGATGGTCGGCAACTACACCACCTCCGCTTTGCTGATGACATTGTTTTAATAACACCAATCATCAGCCAAGTGGCACAAATGCTGGCCGACTTTGACCGGGAGTATGGAAAGGTAGGACTACAGCTGAATCTTACGAAGACAATGTTTATGAGAAACAGCCTCGTTCCTGACACCCCATTTGCTCTCAACGGAACGACCATCTCCGAATGCAACAGCTATGTGTACCTAAGTCGAGAGGTCAACATGACTAATGACCTGGCACCCGAGCTGTGCAGGAGGAAGAGAGTGGCTTGGAACACCTTCAAGAAGGTCAAAGAAATAGCTAGGAGGACAAAGAACCTCTGGCTCCGGGCACATCTCTTTGATTCCACTGTTCTTCCTGCATTAACATATTCTTCAGAGACCTGGGCCCTACGCAAGCAAGATGAGAACGCTAGTCAGGTCTCCCAAAGAAGAATAGAAAGAGCTATGCTTGGAATATCACGTTTCACTCAAATGAGAGAAAAAATCCGGAGTTCCGACATTTGTCGACGATCAAGAATCAGGGATGCTGTCTCATTTGCCAACATCTCGAAAATCAGATGGGCTGGTCACGTAATGAGATTTAAAGATGACCGCTGGACTAGAGCTGTTACTGACTGGATTCCACGGGATGTCAAAAGACCGTGTGGCCGCCCACGTACCAGATGGTCAGACTTCTTCATCAAGATCATAAACGATCGGTTTGAGGCTCTTCATGTTCCCAGAGCGAACAGATGCCATTGGGCTACACTAGCACACGACAGGGACAAATGGAGACGTTACTGGCGCCCGCTCGAGCAAATTGACGACTAAAGGGAAGTTAAGTGATTAAGTGAAGCACTCATATTTTACATTATTTTTCATTACATAACTTATTCACAAGTATATCTATATATGTATATATATGTATGTACATAATGTATGTACATATATATATATATCTTGGGTGAGAAGCAGAAAGTGGTGACATGTAAGATGAGTAAAAGAGGTATGATGTTATTTGTAGGATAAAACAAGGGAAAATATAAAAATGAATATAAAGATTTGAGCAACTTATGAACTGAGAAGAAAACAATAGAATTGAAGGGCATATTCTTGCCAAGAATGGATTTTCTCCTTAGAGATTTTTGAAATATATTCAGAGAACTATCTGAAATATGACTAAGTTTACATAAATAAAGCATTTCTACTTTCAATTCTAGAAATAAACATTAATCACTTAACCATATCATTAATTTATTGTGCCAAATTTGTTCATTGAACATCTGCTTTTGGGACTGTTCTAAGTACTTTGATTAAAAGATGAGTGAGTCATAAAATTTTGCCTTAAGAAATTTATAATTTTCTAGAAATATTATGACTTAGTTAAGTTAAAATGTAAAATCCCATGGAGAAAGAATTTTATTTCTATGAAAATAAACTGACACAATCTTAAATTTATAGTTCTCCAGGAAAGAAAATAGATTGTTGCTATTAAGCACTTTAAAAATTCTCAAGGTGTTCATTCTATTTTCTTATCTTGTTTCTCAGGAACAAAATCATCTATATTTCAGGGATATCTGCTAAGGTCTATTACCAGACCCTAACTGGCAAATGTATGAGGGTGTGGAAGACAAATGTAATAGACCTTGGAAAAATATATTAGCCTAAGAGATGTCCATTTACTAAAAGCTGGTGTCAGTGAATATGTACATAGTGGGAGATGGGGTTAGTTCAAATCAGAGACTGCTAGATACAGACATCTGCCTAATTATCCTGGTAGACTCAATCCAATCATGGGAACTCTTAAAGGAAGAGAGTTTTCCAGCACTGAGACATAAAAGTCACATGACAGTATATAAATTCAGAGAGATTTCATAAATTAAATGGGTTTGGTGCATTCTTCCTGATAAAGGATTAATCTAAAAGAGAGGCCTTTGTATATGAATTAGAAAGACATCACTAGAGCCAAAGAAAGCTCCCTTCTATGAAATAAGTTACAGTTTCAAGGAACCCTATATTGCCAAAAACATAAATAAGTTGGAAAGCATTTTTTACCAGAGTGCCCCCTACATGCAAGAGAGCAAACATATTGATTTTTGTCCTAGAAAATAAACAGAAAAGAAACTAAGGTGAAATAGGACTTTGTATGGACAAAAGAGTGAAACAATACATTAGTGCTTTATTAAATATTAATATTAAAGAAATAATAACAATTTTAAAATAAAAGTATAATGAATAAAATACATATAGTTGATTGGATTGACACCTTTGCCTCCATCTGGCATGGGGCGGTCACAGAGAATGAAACAGATCCTTAAGGAGACAAGCATTCACAAGAACTGTCCAAGCATCAGAGCCCCTGAGCAAGAGCCATGAGTGAGTACACCAGCTGGTCATTTATTCAATACAATATCACTCCCCCAGTCTAGTTCTAAACATGAAAGTTATTGTTTAAGTTAACAGAGACAATGAGAAGTTAGTAAGCACATCGATTTACAATGGGAACACTAAGAGCAAATACTGGAATATTTCACATACTCAATCAAAAGAATAAAGTTATGAATGTATTCTGTTATATTTTACACATTATATATTATGCACATTATATATGCATATATATCAGATATATTCATATATGTATTCATATATATATACATATATATATATATACCAAACCACAAGCTGTATTTTCTGTTATTTCCAAGAGGCATTTTTTTTCCTTATTCTAAGACCTAAGCTGGTTTGCCCAGAGGACTATGCTCATCTTGGGCTTGGGATTTTGTAAAGGGGATGATCTTGGAACTATTATTATCAAATGAATAATTCTCAAAGATAAACATGAAGCAGCTAGTAAAGCAAATGAAAGAAACTAATCACAATATGATTATGTTTATTTAAAATTCTACAGCAGGTATAACTTATTTGTATTCATAGAAAGCAGATCATAGTTTGGGGACATCAGGATGGGGTAGGGTTGATTATAAAATTGCTTTAGGAAACAATATGAGATGATTGAAATATATGATATCTTGATTTTCCTATGGTAAAAATATATTTTAAATTATAAAGTAGACATTATAAATTATACTTTCAAATTGTCTAATGGCATGTCTAAATGTCTTTAAAATCAATGATATAATTTTATCTCTTTGCTCCATACCTTAAACACTCAAGAAATAGACATGATTTCATTCACTTAAAATGGCTGATGTCATTTGATCATCTGTGTGTCCTTTCCAGACAGACAAAAAAACTATTAAAACATACTTATTCGGGGGCTAGAGTGCTAGTACAATGACTGGGTACTTACTTGCTTTGTACTCTGACCTCAGTTCAATCTCTGGCACCCAATATTGTCTCTGTAGCCAAGACAGGGATACTCTTAGAGAACAGAGCCAGGAATCAACCCAGAGCAACGTTGAGTGTGGTCCAAAACCTCCCCCAAATACTTATTTAAATAATCATTTCTTTTGCTTATCTTGTTTTATTTATGCATATATCATGTATTGTGTTTTATTGAATTCAAATTACATTATAGTGTTTTCAGTAAGTTGCGTATTCAAAATCTAGTTTTCTCATTGTTCCATCCATATGTATTCATTGTCTTGCATTATAGATTATCTTTATTAATTTAATAAATGAGAGGATGGATAAGAAAAGCAAATACATTAACATAAGTAAATCTATATTATTTTATCTATATGTGCTACGTTGTTTCACTTTTTTATTTCTAGCCAAATTTTATTTGAAATTTATTCCATAAAACACTAAAAGCTTTTGAGTAGAGATTATGTCATCTCTTCGCTATAAAACCAGCACCCAGATGTCACCTAGGCACTTAGTGAATATCAAATAAATAAATATTAAACAGTGGACTAAAACAACTGTAACTTTCACTTTCTTTGTAATTCTGATTTTATCAAATTCTCTTATCTACAATATAGAAAAATTCAAATGCATATATATCAGGAACATCTTAAATCACAATTACGTATAGTTCACATCAATTAGTTAACAAAATAGATATAAATGCATACAACTTAAAAATGTTACCTTTGTGTAAATTGTATGTATGTACGCATTCATCTATTTATTTGTTTTGGTGAAGCACAGGTTGGTTTTATTAAAACTTATTTAGAGAAATGTGAGGGGTTAGAGAAGCAGAAGTAAATGATTGATTGTGAGAATACAGACTTCTTCAGAGTAAAAATAGCCAAGCAAAAAATCATGGAGATAAGCAAGCTAGATACATATTAAAAGGAAAATATGGGCTTGAAGAGGAAGTTTGTGTGAATTTTAAATTATTATGAAGCATTGATTTTAAATAAATATTCACCAATCTGCTGACTCATATTAAATTAAACTTCTTTAACGTTCAATGAACCATCAGTAGAAATTAATTATTAATAGCAGGTAATTTATCACCAAAAGATTGATGGAATTGGACGGTAATAAAATTAGCCTCCTGTTATAAAGAACATGACTATCATTCAAATGCTTCAAATACTGAAGTAAGTTAAATATTTCTTCAGAATATTGCAAGATTGAAATGTTTCATAACTTTCTGAAGTTTTATAATATCGGAAAAATTAGCCAAAATTTGTATCTGATATGTTGTAGTATCCTGGTAAGGACTTTTTTTAATTAGCTGACTTAGAAAGTCTTAAACATTAACTTCATACACTGCAGTCATATTCCCAAATGCCCAGAATATTTTACTCATCTAAATAATAAAATTCATTAACCTTTATGATGTTGCTCTTGGAATAAGTGAGAACAAGATTCACTGTAGACTCTGAGAGATTATGAAGACAAGGACAATCACTATAATGTAACACTGATAAAGGAATGCCACACTGTAAATGGGTCATGTGGACATCAACATTGATAAAGTCCTCATTGTGCAAACTTTTGTGCTTTTTCAGAAAATGTCCTCAAATATCTTCTAGTGTCTGTTTGATGTAAATGACACTTTTCTTATTAAAACGTTAAATTTGAAAACATCATTCATGAGCTGTCATGTAAAATGAAGTTAGACACCATGGCTATAAGGAGACAATGTTTCAAAGAAAACCATCACAGCACAGGTAAAAATTTCAATCTGGAAAAACTGCAATACATATCCATTTATATATGTACATATGAATACATGTATATATACACACAAGCATGCACGCACACACATATGTGTATACATATATACACATATATGTATAGGTAGTGTTGGAAAGTGAACTGTTGCTGGTTATGAGACAGAGAGACAGTAGAGGGTTTAATGAACATGCCTTGCATTCGATCAGCAATGGATCACTTTCCAACACTGCCTACTTTCACCTGAAAATCTGAAAACCACCAGAAAACATCTCTTAGTACAAAGTCAGAAGTAAGTTCTGAGCATTGTCTCAAAAAAAAATACAAATATAGCACTGTAGCACTGTCCTCCTGTTATTCATCAATTTTCTTGAGCAGGCGCCAGTAATGCCTCCATTGTGAGACTTATTGTTACTGTTTTTGGCATATCGAATACATCACGGGCAGCTTGACAGGCTTTGCCATGCAGGCGGAATACACTTGGTAGCTTGCTGGGCTCTCCGAGAGGGGCAGAGGAATAGAACCCAGGGGGCCACATGCAAAGAAAACACCCTAGCCACTATGCTATCACTCCGGCTCACACACAAATATAATATATGGAAACAATAGCTTACTATTTCAAACATTTTGTTGAATCATTAGTATGACATTAATTTACGTAGGTAAGTAAGAAGGAAAGCATATATCACAATTTAAAACACATCAAATAACCAGCTGCTATTAAAATCAGTGGTCCAAAG